TTTTTTTTTTTTTTTTTTTTTTTTTTGTGAAAGGGCTTAATTTTAAATCCAAGTTTTCATTAAGAATTGGTCACTTTATGTCTTGGCTGGTTTGTATTGTAAAATTGTTCCATTACTTTTGACTTTTTAACCTTCTCCATATTTTACAAATGATAAAGAAACATATATATATATATATATATTATTGAAGTTTAACAAAATTTTTAAGTAATTTTTCAAAGAAAATATTTATCAAAATAAATTAGTTTTATGTTTAATCCCTGCATCATTGATTGATAGATAAAGGAAAATAGTAAGTAAAACTTAAAAATATGCATACAAAAATATTACTCTTTACATAAAAATATTTTGTAAATTTGGTTTGGTTTAATCATTTCTACTTTTCATTTTCAGTTTTTGGTTTGGGTATTTAATTTTTAAACCCGCTAAGTTAGTTTGAACTGATATTACCAATAAACAAATCTCAAATAATCGAACATCTAATTTAAAACTGAAAATATGAAAACAATTTTTTTAAAAAAAAATTGAAATAGTTTATTTTGTAGATAAACAAAGCAAAAAAAATATAATATGTGTTTTCATCTTTTGATTTTGGATTTTAGTTTTTAGATTTGGTTTTTGGTTTTGCTTTACATTTTTTTAATCAGTAAATTATTTAAGAAAAATAAAACAATAAATTATGTAAAAGTTACAATTGAAATTTATCAAAACAAAGTGATTGTTATTTAAAATAAAAAATATATTAACATGTTTTAAAGTACATTATTTAAACAAATGATTAATAATAGATAATTTTGTTTTGTTAAAAATATTAAATACCTTTTGGGTCTGAAAATAATAATTGATTTTTGATCTTTTAAGGTGAAAAGTTTATTCAATGTTTTTTGGAGTTTTTTCTTAATACTAAGCCCAAAAGCTAAACTATATAATTTGTTCAAAAAATAAAAGTAAACCCAAGACTATATTCCATAAATAACCACTGGTTTAATTTAAGTATAATTAGTAGATTTACATATTCCATATTTTTATGATATATATTCTTTTAGAATATTCCATATTTGTAGGAGAAAATATGTGTTTTCGGTATACACATAGATATCTGATGTATTTTCAAGGTAATTTACATTAATGTCGTCTTTTTACATTAATTGTGTTGGTTTAATTTAAGTAAATATGGTTCAATCAGTTATATGACTTAGGGTCTGACTGGTTGAAACGCGGCGGTTACGATTGCGGTTGCGGGAGTTTGCGGATGTGGGTGGTTGCGGTTTCTAGCGTTATTAGGCGATTTGTACGACTGGTACAGCGATTAAAAACTGGTGCGTTTGCGGGACATTTATGACTGGTTGATAATGAGATACTACAGCGGTTCAATAATAAATTTCCAATATTAACATATTATAACATTATAAAAATATCAAAACATACTGTTATGATAAAAATAATAACTATTAATATATTATAAGTAATAACAATATTATTTTTATTTTTTTTATTTAGATGAAAATATAATTTATATAATTAATAAAATATTATAATATAATATAATTAATTATATTTATGTATTTATATATTTATCTATATATCTATTTATATTTATATATGTATATTTATATATTTATATATTTATATATTTATATATTTATATATTTATATATTTATATATTTATATATTTATCTATTTATCTATTTATCTATTTATATATTTATATATTTATATATTTATATATTTATATATTTATATATTTATATATTTATATATTTATATATTTATATATTTATATATTTATATATTTATATATTTATATATTTATATATTTATATATTTATATATTTATATATTTATATATTTAATATTGAAAAATATAGTGAAAATTCTTGATTTAAAGTTCTTATAAATAGATTATGATATTTTTAGTGAATTTAAATTAAAAAATAAAAGGTAGATATAGTTTTAGTTATATTATTTTTATTTTTATATTTTAATTTTAAATTAAAAAAATAGTTTTTTATCCACCCACAATCGCCCGCAAACGTAAACGCTAGCTGAAACCAGCTTTTGATTTTAAGAGGTTGGGAGCGGTTTGAAGCGATTTATAGCGGTTTTTGTGATTGTTGCAAAACGCTAGCAACCGCCATCTACCGCAAAAGCTGCGTTTGCGGGTGGTAGCGGGGAAACCAGTCGGACCCTTATATTATTTGTAACATTATAGAAATGGTTGCAAATTTAAATGACAACTTGTATTAGTAGATAAAAGTAATGACTCTATTTTAATAGAATAGATACCTATCTAAGCCTAATATAAATGTAAATTTGTTGTTTTGTTGTAAAAATATAGGATCATTTATCAATTATTACAAAGTGTAAATTTATCAATAGAGTACGTAGTAACACTTCGAACCAGTTAGAGAGTTCATAAAAAAGTTAACCGCCGTTGCCGGGGATCGAACCCGGGTCACCCGCGTGACAGGCGGGAATACTTACCACTATACTACAACGACTTTGATGTTAACATAATGAATGCTCAATTTATTATCAAAACGTGGTTAAATCATCACTTTACCTCTGTTGTTAACCTCACCCTCTGCTGCAAGTAGTAATATTTTAGGGTAACCTGTCTAATGAATCAGTCCATCTACATACCTTTGGTTCTTGTATCTAATTCAGACGTGGGTGAGTGACTCAAGAAAAAAAGAAAAAAAAATTAAATTCATTGAAGACGAAAGGAAAACACACAAAATGAGAGGGTACTATAGTATTTACACAAATGCATGGGCCCATAATAGGTCTGTCTTTTTACATAGATATCAGTCAACCCATTCAGATTCACGTCGATCGCGTGTATACATTACATTACACACAACGAAATTTACTAATGTGTGCCCCTCGTTGTTTTCCTCTTATTTTTAACAATTTGAAACCCTTGCAAAAGCATACAGAAATCAGATTCCAATGCAAATTAGTACCTAAAAATGTTCATATATTTTCCAGATTCCAATACAAATTAGCACCTAAAAACTAGAGTATGAAGTAACATAATATATAACATGTTCTTGATAGAAACAAACCACTAGATACTAAAAACTAATTACTGTACTATGTATGCCACTTGAGCTTTTCATTCATATTATGTTTTTAGTAAACATTAAGCACCTTATGTAAAATGTAAACCATTAAAGACAAAAATAAAACGCTCAATTCCCATTATGCAAATGGTTTGCAGTACAAAATCCACGTGGCGGAGTATCATTGGTAGTTGAGCTAGGAAGGCGGTCGCTATCGTCCTTGTCTTTCTCTTTCTTACTATAGGACTCTGCTTTTCCCTCCTCCCTCACTACTCTGTCTTTCTTCCTCACACAATCAGAAAAAAAAAAAAGAAAACCCTAATTTTTATCTTCTCGATTCATCCCTCCTCAATCCTCCCGATAATGCAACAACTTCCATTTTTAAGATCGTGAAAAAACTCGAGATTGGTGGTTCTTTTCAGAAGAAAAAAAAAAACAAAATGCTGCAAGGTGCTGATTACTCAAAGGTCTCTCAGCTTCAGAGCTGCTTCGGAGATTGCAGCAGCGAGGAGGAATTAGCGGTGCTTCCACGTCATACAAAAGTGGTCGTCACTGGAAACAACCGTACGAAATCTGTTCTCGTCGGTCTTCAAGGCGTCGTTAAGAAAGCTGTTGGACTCGGTGGTTGGCATTGGCTGGTGAGAAATAACCTCATCTCCTTCGTTTTTTTATTTAATCTTTATAGTATTATCTGTGTTTTGTCTTATTACATCTTTGTTGATTCAAGATCAAATACAGAATCATGCTTTGAGTTTTAAGCTCAATAATGCAAGTAAATCAAAATCAATGGTAGTTTGATGATGTTGCTGATTCAAAACGGATCAACTCAGCTAAAAAGAAAAAAAAAAAAAAAGTGAAAAGACCAGACCCATGGGATTTGATTGATTGTCCATAAAAATACAATAATAACCATCTGCGTTTTTTTATATTTATTTTAACTCTCTTTTTACATTCTTCTCTTCAACTTTTGCTTGTGAATCCTTATCCCTTTTTTTTCATCTTGTGTGGGTTCAAGCTGGCTTTTACATTTGTTTTACTTGTCATTAGTTTAATATTAATTTGGATTCTTTTTTTTCAGATGGGTCATTTTCACCCACTACCGAATTTTATCTCCTTTGGTTTCAGTTGCTTTATTATAGATGTTCTCAAATTTCATTAGGCTGCTTAATTAGTTTTAAATAGTTAGAAATTCTTTCTTTGATCATTACTTACCTCACCGTTTCTCCGGTTTTAGTATATCTTAATACGTTTTCTTCATAACCAATGCTTATTATTTTACTAATATAAGATATCAAAATTCCACCAGTTCTTGTCTCCCAGCCTTTCCCATTTCTCAAAAAAAATCTCAAACTTTTTACTTGTTTTATTGCAATTTTGTATACTAATCCTCATGGTCCTAAGTTTTATAGGTTTTGACAAATGGAATCGAAGTGAAGTTGCAGAGGAATGCACTTAGTGTCATTGAAGCTCCTACTGGGAATGAAGAAGACGATGATATTGAAGTCGAGCATACACAGTGGAATCTCTCTCATATGAGTAAGTTTGGTTTCTTGTCGGAAGACTGTAATATATAGTCAACTCTCCGATGTTGAGTGTGTTAAGACATGTTCTTTGATTGTCTTTTGCAGCATCTGATGACACTTTGCAAAATCATAAGGCGAAGAAAAGAGGATATAGATCAGCTCGGTTATCACAAAAGACAATGTGCAGGGACTTATCTTGTGACTCACACACGAACATGGTAATACGCCTTTGGAAACTGTGTGATATGATTATGCATTTGAGTGTTTCTGGTTACTTACTGATATGAGGAATTGTATGGTTTTAACGCAGAAGGTTGATCTTAGCAAATTGGATATGCCTGCATTACAGAGATACATACGACACTTTAACCTCGTGAGTCAAGAGCGAACAATCTCTTCTTTGTTTTTACTCTCTTAGTTACCGGTAAAGCTGTGGAAGTGAGTTTTTGGTTTTGAGTCTTTTGACAAAGATGTGATTATCTTTTTGTAAGGTGGATACACTTCCTAATCCAACAAAGGAGCAACTACTTGACATTGTTCAAAGACACTTCATATCTCAGGTAAACATTCCCTCTTCTTCTAACAACTGAAATCAAAAAGGGCTAAAAAGCTATAATATCTTCTTTTTTTGGGAAAAAAAGCTATAATATCTTCTTTTTTTGGGAAAAAAAGCTATAATATCTTTGTGACATTTGTTTTTCAGGAAATGGATGAGCTTCAGGTTATAGTGGGATTCGTTCAAGCTGCAAAGGGAATGAAGAAAGCTTGCAGGTGGAAATCAAAAGAACATCAGAAACACTGATCTTAACCGCAACAGCTAAATCTCCTAGATAGGCTAACAAACCCTCCTCCTTTGGATCTTAATCCAATCTGCGGTTACTTAGTTAACCACTTCGTGGCTTATAAGTTGAGTATAGTAGTTAAAGCTCAGTCTCTGGCTTAACAGTTAGATTTTGTTATTGCTCTCTCATGTAAGTAACATCAAGAAGCAATGACCTAAAAACAAAGTAGCACTCTAATCTCTAATCAAGCATCCATCTTTATTTTCCCATATATAGAGATATATGTTATGTAAATACTGCAAAGTATCTTTCAAAACCAATACTTTATATAAAATTTAAATTGATACAAATGAAATGTGTAACAACTACTAAGAAAAAAAAATCTTAAGAAAATGGAAGAGGATGTAACAAAGTTATCATCTTCCAAGCGAAAGAAACGTGAAACATAAACCAGACCGGAAGTTAAACCGGTTTTTCAAGACCGAGTGGGACAGAAAGTGATCAAGTAGTTAGCACCGGAACACGTGAAAGTACTTGTCGCGTCGTCATAAGCGTAACTGTAAGCGCTAGGACAAGCGTTCTTAAACATGGCCGAGTAACGCGTCGGAGAACAAGTCTGCGGCGTCGCGTGAGCACCGGTACAGCAAAACTCCGGCGAATTAAACGCCGCGCAAGCGCTCTTACACGCCGCGACAGTCCCGGTTTTCGGATCCATGATCCTAAGCTCGTTAGGACAAACCGCGTTGACGTCAGCGACGCACCCGGCGTACTTGCAATCACCGGAGCCTCCTTGTGGCTTTATCCCCATCTCGACGTTGTAACCGTCGACGAGACTCACGTCGTAGAAGTCTTTGCCGGAGACGCCTGTTCCGACGGTGAACTCTGCGAGAGTGGTCGGAGGAACTCCTCCGCCGATGCATTTTAGGACGCCGCCGCAGTCTCCGGTGACGCAGTTACCGTTACCGGAGGAATCGAAGTTGCAGGCGGTACGGGGCCAGAACCGGCCTGACCATCCCGGAGGAGCGGTTAGCTGTTGGGAAGCGCCTGGAGTTAAGGGAAAACCGCCGTCTCCGAGGGTGTTGCTGTTGCCGGAGAGGATTCCGGGCCAGACGATGTACGGACAGCTGTTCTGTAAAGTGAAGACGGTGGCGGAAACAGCAACGCCGCCTACACAGTTTCGAAATAAAAAATGTTAGATACAAAAAAAAACAAATTAAAAATAAAACTTTATGAGAACTATAAGTGGAAACATTTTGCTCAAATAGAAAGAGAAGACATAAATGTAAAACAGAGAAGAAAGCAAGAGCTGAGAGTGTTATTGGTGTTACTTGTGATGAACACGAACAAAAGAATGAGAATACTGTGGAAATTCGCCATTTTTTCTGTGTTTATGTGATGTGTATGATTCTTATGATGTTTGTGAGTATAAATGATGGTGATGAATGTACGTTACTCACACCACTCCTCTATTTATAAGTGCTGGTTCAAGGGTAGTGCTATCGGTTTTTTCATTATTTTGGTGAATTATTTACAGTTTATGGTAAAAGAAAATGATTGTGGTGAATTTTTTTTTTTGTGCCGACTGTTAGCCCATCGTCTTTGGCTATTGAATTTTCTTTTATTTGTCATAACTGTTTTTTCGTGCGTTAAAGAAAATAAATTGGGTCATTATTACGGATTCTTGGATATTAAGTTGATTAAGAAAAATTGATTCAAAAACTAAATGAAATATCAGGTTGAGATTGATGGTGAAACAGCATGCCCAATTATCTGCTCATTCTTGAAATAATTTAATATTAGGTGTTTTATGTGTCTTAATATAAAACAAACAAAAATCAAAAATAAAAGAGACGTGAAGAGACCCTCACGTTTATTATGTAACCATTTTCACACGTTCGCATGAAATTTGGTTAGAAGAACAAACCCACAACATCCACAAGGAGAAACTCTCTTCCATGATCCCATCCATCTCTTCAGTTGTTCGATTTTTATTTTATACAGCTTAGTTTGTTTATTTACAGTTGTTTTCCCCCGCTAATTTCTAGGAAACATGCCATCAGATTCGATAAGTGAAACATAAAAACATATCATGATCTGTTTTGGTGTGGGAAAGAGTAAACAACTAACACGTACAAATATTCTTGGATTCATGAATAGGCTCAGAAGTAGCAAAGTTGGAGACATTTTTTTATAGATTTAATATGTTGAGATTTGAGAAGATTTGACTTTTATGTTTGTGTAGGAGAAAATAGTAACCGTGACGACTAGGTTTCATTAAATTAGTAGTATATATATATTAGGCACATATAATTAATGGATCAATGTTGAATAACCAAAATTCTTTTAGGCGCTATCAGACTTCAACAGATCATGTACCCTGTAAGTTTTATGAAATAAGAACGGTTTATAGGTTAAGTTAATCAAAATGTATCTTATATACATTGTTTGGTTTTGTATTTCTTCGACTCTTTGCCATCCAAAAAGGTAGAAAAGGTTCAAAAGTTGGTTAAGTTAACCTGATCTCACTTGCACCTACTTGGATAAGGAGATAAGATGACATGTGAACATGCAGATGCATGTAAAATAAAATAGGAGATGCTAACGTGATTGTGAAGGTCGAAACACCTCGAGCTTCTTCTTGATACTTGAATCACGAACCAACAAGACGATATGTTGACCCGGAGTTCACCGCACCAACACCGTTAAAGAGATGTTGGCCGCTATAGCTCTCCGGAGCTGGGATTGAACCAGCAACACTATACACAGCAACTCGAAACTTGAGTCACCGTCAGTTACACGAGAACCTNAGAAGCTGACCTTTTATACCTAAGACTAAACCGTTCTAATAACTGAACGGTTAATCCTAACCACATACACAAACCGTATATGATTAACTAACGAGAGAGAGAGACCCGGTATAGCAATTAATTACAAACTTAACCGGACTAATAAAACCAAGTCCTAACCTATCTAAACCGATAGTTTAATCTTGTCTACAATCTTCAAATCTCCACCTTAGACAAGATTTCAAAACTTGGTGAATCATACCTGAACTCCTCTTTACCGAGTTGCTCTTTCTTGTGTCTTTTACCAGACCATTGCAGCCTTTACCGGCTACAACCAAACCTCCTGCATCCTTTACTCTTTTGAAACTCGAAGCAAAGTTAATGCTTCTCTGAACTTGAACACTGGAAGAACTTTTGTAAAAATATCAGCAGGATTGTACGCAGTAGCAATCTTGAGAACATCAACTTCACCAACACTAATCAGATCACGAATGAAATGATACTTCGTTGCTACATGCTTCGTGCGCTCATGATATACTGCATTCTTCGACAGTGCAATAGCACTTTGAGAATCACAGTATATCTCCACTGATTCTTGTGGAAAACCCAACTCCTCAGCAAATCTCTTTAACCAAACTCCTTCCTTAGCTGCCTCAGACAATGCAATATATTCGGCTTCAGTTGTGGACAAAGCAACTACTTTCTGAAGTGAAGACCTCCAACTTATAGGATTTCCTCCAGCAGTAAATATCATACCAGTTATAGACCTCCTATGATCCAAGTCAGCACTGTAATCTGAATCACAGTATCCTTTAATCACAAAATCACCTTTCTTCTTGTAACACAGCCTTGTGTTAACAGTCCCTTTAATGTATCTTAAAACCCACTTCACTGCCTGCCAATGCTCTTTAAGAGGCTTCGACATGAACCTACTCACTAGACCAACTGAATATGCCAAATCTAATCTTGTACCCACCATCGAGTACATTATACTTCCAACTGCACTCTGATAAGGAACTCTACTCATAGCTGAAGCCTGCTCCCTTAACTCTTTCTCTGTTCCAGACTTGAGCTTAAAATGAGCACCCATAGGAGTCGCAACTGACTTAGACTGATCCATATCGAACTTAGATAGTACTCTCCATAAGTAGTCTTCCTGAGACACCCATAACTGAAAATCTTCTCTGTTTCTATTGATTTCCATACCCAAAATCTTCTTAGCATCTCCTAAGTCTTTCATTTCAAATTCTGAACTCAAGACTTTCTTCAACTTTTCAACCTGACTCTTATCAGTTGAAGCTATAAGAATATCATCAACGTATAAGAGCATATACACGTACACACCATTATCACTGATCTTGAAATACACACACTGATCATACTCACTTCTCAAATATCCCTGAGTCCTTACAAAATCATCAAATCTTCTATTCCACTGACGAGGCGATTGCTTCAAACCATACAAGGACCTTTTCAACAAACACACTTTCTCTGGAAACTTCTTGTCTACAAAACCTTCCGGCTGATCCATATAGATCATCTCATCCAAAGTACCATGTAAAAATGCCGTTTTGACATCCATTTGTTGAAGCTCCATGTTAAAGTAAGTGACTGCTGACAAAATGTACCTTATCGATACATGTTTAACCACAGGAGCAAAGATCTCTTGAAAATCAATACCCTCTTTCTGTGAATATCCTTTTGCTACCAATCTTCCTTTATATCTCGGTGGTTCAACTCCCACAATGCCAGCCTTTCTCTTGAACACCCATTTGCAACCTATCGTTTTCTGATCTTTAGGCTTATCAACTAAAATCCACGTTCCATTCTTCTTCAAAGAGTCCATCTCGTCAATAGCAGCCTTTCTCCATAGATCACTATCACTGTCTTCCATGGCTTCTCTGTATGACGAAGGCTCTGGATTAGTATCTTCTGACAAGTCACAAATATAACAGGCATATATATCTTCTCCATCCGCTGCATCACACTCGTAGTCTTCTAGTCTTCTAGGGGGATTGATCTGCCTTCTTGTTCTGTCCTTTGCCAATTGATAGTCACTTAAGTCCTCTTCATCCTCAACTTCTGTTATGTCAGCTCCACCTGAAACACTCTTCCCTTCACCAGAAGCTCCACCTTCAGCTGTATCTTCATCACTCTTCTGAGTATCCGACAGCTCCAAGCTCACTAGATTAGGAATATCTCCTGTAGCATCGCTATCTGAGACTTTATCTTTAACTTCTTTATAAACTTGATCCTCCTTGAAAACTACATCCCTGCTGATAATAACTTTCTTTTCTTCAGGAATCCATACTTTAAACCCTTTAACCCCTTCAGGATAGCCGGTAAAGAAACCTCGTTTTGCTCTAGGATTTAATTTCCCATCACTCTTGTGAACAAAGACTACACAGCCAAATCTTCTTAACCCTTTCAAACTTGGCATAACTGATGTCCACTTCTCCTCAGGAACTTCAAAGTTAATAGCTGATGACGGAGATCTGTTAATCAGAAACACTGCAGTAGCTGCTGCTTCAGCCCAAAACTTCAACTCAAAACCACTTTCACTCAGCATACTACGAACCTTATTCATTATAGTTCTGTTAAGTCGCTCTGCAACTCCGTTTTGTTGCGGAGTATAGGTACAAGTTCTGTGCCTAACCATTCCTTCTTCTTTACAAAACGAGTTAAACTGAAGGTTACAAAACTCCAAGCCGTTATCAGTACGCAGTTTCTTAATCTTCCTTTCGCTTTGTGTTTCCACCATTTTCTTCCATAGCACGAAACATTCAAAAGCTTCATCCTTCCTCTTAAGGAAATATATCCATACCTTTCTCGAGAAGTCGTCTGTAAAGGTAAGGAAATACTGAGCTTTTCCAAGACTTGGGGGAACATTCGGAGACCCCCAGAGGTCAGAGTGAACATAGTCAAGCTTATCCTTCGTTACATGCAGAGCTGGTCCAAAACTCACTTTGTGTGTCTTTCCTATTACACAGTCTTCACAGAACCTTACTTCTTTATCTTTGATATCTCCGAAACAACCCTTTTTAATCAAAACTTCAATACCTTTTTGACCAAGATGTCCCATCCTACTGTGCCAAAGCTGAGCTTCTTTCAACTGATCTTTATTTGTCTCAGCGTTACTTGACTCGCCCTGTATCAAACCAGTAGACTTTGCTGTTGCCTGAAGTATATAAAGAGATTGTCTTCGAAAGCCTTTCATAAACACAGTACAACCTTTGATAACCTTTAGTACTCCATTGGCCCCCTTAAACTCACAACCTTTCTCCTCAAGATTTCCCATTGATATTAGATTCCGTGATATCCCGGGCATGTATCTAACATCATGTAGAACAAATGTAGTCTTGTCTGCATTTTCAAATCTAATTGATCCAACTCCTTTAACTTCAGAGATAGTATTGTTTGCCATGCGAACTCTTCCACCATCAGACGGCTTCAGACTGAGAAATAAATCCTTTCTTGGAGTCATATGAAAGGTGCAACCTGTATCCATTATCCACTCATCTCTATCTGCTTCTGTAGAGTTAACCTCTGCCACTAGAAGACCAACTAAATCTCTTGCATCATCCTTTGCCAAAGACGACTCTCCACTTTCAGAACCTTGTCTCTGACCCTTGTTCTTATCTAACCACTTATAACACTGCTTTTTAAAATGGCCCTCTTTACCACAAATCCAGCAAAGACGTTTACCCTCCTTTGACTTAGAGCGAGACCTGCTTTTGTTCTTACCTGCATAAGAGTTATAATTCCTATTCTCTGTTCTACCTCTAACATAGTTTCCTTCCCCCGATACCTTAGCAGTAGACGATTCTTTATATTCCATTTCTTTAGACTTAGCAGCACTAGAGATATCGTCTACACTAATAGCCTCTCTACTATACTTTAGAGTTTCTTTTAGAGAATCATACCTGCTTGGCAAAGCGTTGAGTAGCAGAATCGCTTGCACTTCCTCAGGTATTTCGATGTTGAGATTACTCAAGTCTGTCACAAGCTTGAGAAAATCATCAACGTTTTGATCGATTGTCTTCGAGTCTTGCATCTTGAATGAGTACACCTTGAGCTGCGCGTGAACTCGATTTGGCAAAGTCTTCGCCATATACAACTTGTCAAGAAGCTCCCAAGCCTCCATAGCTGTCTTACATTTATCGAGTTTCCTTAGAACATGATCTCCAACGCTCATAAAGATTATATTCAACGCCTTCTCATCCCGTTCAGATCTTGCCACTTCTTCAAGATCCTTCTTCTTCTTGGTGTCTTCATCATCTTCTTCCTCATCTGTCTTCGCCGTCACTGAGGTCTGTGAGGGAGGAATCAAGACATCCTTCAATCCTTGAACGCTTAAGTTTGCCAGCATTCTTTTCTTCCAGATCGCGAAATCTCCTGTTCCATCGAACATTGAAATCTTGATCTCCATCTTCATCTTGCGAGTTGTCATCACAAGAGTCTTCTTGCAATCTTCGATTTGGGAAATCGAATCTTCTTATCGCTAACCGCCGAGCTAGATCTTCGAGAACTCTGAATCTTCTAACCTCCGGCTCTGATACCAATTTGTGAAGGTCGAAACACCTCGAGCTTCTTCTTGATACTTGAATCACGAACCAACAAGACGATATGTTGACCCGGAGTTCACCGCACCAACACCGTTAAAGAGATGTTGGCCGCTATAGCTCTCCGGAGCTGGGATTGAACCAGCAACACTATACACAGCAACTCGAAACTTGAGTCACCGTCAGTTACACGAGAACCTNCAACAAGACGATATGTTGACCCGGAGTTCACCGCACCAACACCGTTAAAGAGATGTTGGCCGCTATAGCTCTCCGGAGCTGGGATTGAACCAGCAACACTATACACAGCAACTCGAAACTTGAGTCACCGTCAGTTACACGAGAACCTTGGATCTCTCTCTCTACACTCGTCTAACTTCTTTCTCTTGCTGTTACAGATTACATCAGCTAAAGGAAAGAAGCTGACCTTTTATACCTAAGACTAAACCGTTCTAATAACTGAACGGTTAATCCTAACCACATACACAAACCGTATATGATTAACTAACGAGAGAGAGAGACCCGGTATAGCAATTAATTACAAACTTAACCGGACTAATAAAACCAAGTCCTAACCTATCTAAACCGATAGTTTAATCTTGTCTACAATCTTCAGTGATCTCCCTGAATATATGATCTAATGGAGTAGTTAAAGAGCACGAGCAACGATTTTCTTTCTCTTTCTCTCATCACCTGCAAAACGAAGGTATCATTCTTTTGGGACAAAAGTAAGTTCTGTGCTTCTTCCATCAACGACAAAGTTTTGTTCAGATGGGAACTTCCTTCACCGACTGAGTAAGGCTAATGACATATTGTACCACCATCCATGATCCGAAGATCGCTAGGGCAAATCTCGTTGATGTCAGCGAGGCATCCCGCGTAATGGCAATCTCCGGTTCCTCCTAAAGGTTCGATCCCCATCTTGACATTGTAACCGTCGACGAGGCTAACGTCGTAGAGATCCACGCCGGAATCGCCTGATCCGACGGTGAACTCGGCTAGAGTAGCCGGAGGAAATCCGCCGCGGTTACAATTCAAAACGCCGCCGCAGTCTCCGGTGACGCAGGGGCCGCGACCGGAGGCGTCGAAGCTGCAGCCGGTGCGAGCCCAAAAACGGCCTGACCATCCCGGAGGAGCAGTGAGCTGTACGGAAGCGCCTGGAGTCAGGGGAACCCCGCCGTCGCCGAGGGTGGTGCTGTTGCCGGAGAGGATTCCAGGCCAGACGGTGTAAGGGCAACTGTTCTCTAAAACGAAGACGGTGGAGTTAACAACAATGCAGCCTGCAAAAAGAGATGGTTAAGAGATTGTAATTACCAAAGGAGAGAGATTAAGACATAAGTGAAAGTGAAACAGAGAAGAGAACAGTGTTTTTGTTGTTAATACTTGTGATGAACACAATTAAGAGAATATGAGTATCCGCCATTTTTTAATCGTTTTTTTTTTTGTTTATTTATGTGAGGTGGATGATGATGAAAATAGGTTCCTGTCAGTATATAGAAGAGTTGTTCCTTGGAAGAATTAGTATTCTTGGTTGTACTATTATGATATACTCAGTAAGTTTACTAGATTTGAGACACAAGCTATAGAGTATTCAATCTTTATACAATCTTATTCATCTTTGTATGAATCAGAGAATATAATATCAAATATCAATGAATACGGCTGTTAGCCCATCTTCTTTGGCACTATATATTTTATTTGCCGCAATGATTTTAATAAGTTGAATACATCTCATGAGAAATCATGATAGATGACAAATTTATGATTCATTACATAATAAAAACATCAATCAATTTTTCCCTTTTGAATTTCTTAAAAAAACTCCTAACGACAACGGTATCATCACTCTCTCTTTTATAAAGGCAAAGTTAGAATTTATGAATTTGAAATATAGTTAGAGTGAAAAAAATTAGAGAGAATAATAAAAATGCCACTTGGTGGCCCCTTTTTGAGCTAACACATATGTGCAGCTTTGTTACCAGACCTTTTAACAAAAACATGAGTAGGAGTTTGTCATTCCATATACCAACATAGCTTTATCTGAGATTACTCGGGGCAAGATTAATTGGGAACAAGAGCAGTTTATAGATTTCTACAAGTGTTTTGATGAATCAAAATGTACCTACAAAAATAGTCTGGTTTTGTGTGTTTCAAGTCTTTCCCAGCAAAAAAGGTGGAGAAGATTCAAAGTTGATGCGATTAAAAATTTAGAACTAACCAATCTCATTTGCAAGGTTGCACCTAGCTAATCAGATAACCGACTGAATCATAATGTAGTTCACTTCAACGCAGTGAACACTTTGAAGAGAAAAGATCACATCTGTATATGTAGTTATTCTCTTATAACTTGATGTTAGGAGATCCTATGTATATGATGTCGAATATCTCTTTATCTTATAAGCATCTTATTTAATCAAAGAAGTGGAAGAAGATATTCATCTTACGTACATAGCAAGCAACCAAAAAAAACATGAGAGAGGAGATAAACTCGACCCGAGTCCAAACCGGAGCTCCAGATTTTAGGAACCGTTGGGGCAGAAAGTGATCAAGTAGTTAGCTCGGGAACAAGTGAAGGTGCTTGTTGCGTCGTCATAGGCGTAGCTGTAAGCGCTAGGACAAGCTTCCTTGAACGTCTTCGAGTAACTCGTCGGAGAGCAAGTTTCCGGCGTATCGAAAGCTCCTGTGCAGCAATATTCCGGCATTTGAAACACGTCGCAGGGGCTCTTGCACGCCACCACATTTTTCTTTGGATCCATGACCCGAAGCTTGTTAGGGCAAATCACGTTTAGGTCGGAGACGCAGCCTGCGTATTTGCAATCTCCGGTACCTCCTTGTGGTTTTATCCCAATCTTGACATTGTAGCCGTCGACGAGACTCACGTCGTAGAAATCCTTTTCTCCGATGGTGAATTCGGCCAGTGTGACTGGAGGAACTCCACTGGCGCCAGCGCATTTAAGAACGCCACCACAATCTCCGGTGACGCAGTTACCTTGGCCGGATGAGTTGAAGTTGCAGCCGGTACGAGCCCAAATGCGGCCTGACCATTCCGAAGGAGCGGTGAGCTGTACAGAAGCGCTTGGATTTAATTGAAAACCACCGTCGCCGAGGGTGTCATCGCTGTTGCCGGAGAGAATTCCTGGCCAGACGGTGTAAGGGCAATTGTTCTGTAAAGTGAATTCGGATGAGGAACCAGAAATGCCACCTGCATTTTTCCCCGACACAAACCAACATTATCAAAATTAAAAATTAAAAAATAGACTGAGCTTTGAAATCTAGTTTTGCTGAATTTCTCTTATTGATAAACACTTAGAGCATGATTAACCCACGTTCTTAAGGCGGAGTTCTTAGCAAAAGCTAAGAAACTATATTTTAACTTTTAAATTCTTAACTTCCGCTAAAAACCCCGTCTTAGGAAACTTCGGGTTAAAGAAAAAACATTTAAGTTCGTAATTTTTTATGAACTTTTTAATCATTTTAAAATGAAAAATTATCATTTAAATCAATAACTACCTATCATACTATTATACATAAAAATTATAAGTTGTCTAATTAAAAATAATTTTGCCATGACATATTATACATGTCATTTGTATTAGAAAATTACATACTACTATACTCCTATACTATTATACATATATAATATAATTAGTCTAACTATAAGTAAGATATATATATATATAATAAACAATTCGTAATTATTTCACCAACAATAATATATATCCAACTAGACTTTTTTAAATAAACATATTTCACCAACAATTATAACAACTAACCTAAACATACATAAAATAGTAGATGTATATTAATGGAGTAGATGCCAAGAATTATGCTATAAATATTCTCTGAAATTGTACTTTTGTTTTCGGATAAATCAAAAAAGATATCATATTTCTTAAGCAATCTTAACTAAATATATTTTAACCCTAACAACTGTATGACTATATACGTATAACTATAACACTAACGTATTATTCATCTCCCACTTCTCTCCATTGTTTACTTTATGGCTCCAAAAGCTAAAAACTTCGTTAATGACATCAAACCCTGGAAAACAGAATCGTATTAATGTCAAAGCAGTTCATTCATGGAGGCAGCAAACCAAGTTCGGTGGTGATTAAAAATTTGAATGATATTAATTACTAAATATATTCCAAATATCTTAAAATAATAACATCATCTAAATATATGGTAAAATATAATTCTATTTGAAATTTCAGTTATAAAATGTATAATATTGAATTCAATTTTTAGCCAAAAAATAATATATAAAATATGTATTTATATATACATTTTAATTAAATTTGTGGTTTAAAAAAATAATAATATACCCGCGCAGGCGCGCGGGTCAAAGTCTAGTGTAAATTAAATAAAAGGCATTGAGGGGGAGTCGAAGATGGGTTGTTTCTCTAGACAACTAATTGTTGTTGTATCTTGCATAGTTTGATATATATACACATTTTAATATAATAAAAACACAAATTTGAATAAAATTTTGAATATTTTCGAATATAAAAATATTTTCAGATATTTTTTTGCATATTTAGGTATTTTTTAGGTCCAATCCGAACCGAACCGAGCCGATAAATTCTAGTTACCCGAATGGGTCCAACTATCGAAGACCCGACATGAACCCGGTACGATCCGAGCCGATCTGGAACCGAAAATTTGAAATTACCCTATCGGGTCATAAATTCCTAGACCCGAAAAACTCGAACCCGAAAGGACCCGATCCGACTACCCGAATGCCCAGGCGTTCGTACAGTAAGGGGTACATATGCAATTTAATATAACATGGGATTAAAACAGAATAAGTAGTAAAATATGGGGGTTTATGCACAATTAACCAACTCACAGTCTCAGCTCCGGCGGATATTTTTCTCTCCCCTCAGAATAGATTAGTTTTTTTTTTTATCGGGACAACTTCTTCTCAGACAGACATGCTCCTGTCTCCTCCGATCTTCTCCTTCGTCCGAATCTCACCTTCTATCAATCAATCTATGTGACCATACTCCTTTTTGCGTAGGAGCAAATGTCGATTTCTATGGAGCTTCTTCCCGTCTTCTCCACTCTCCGAAGAGCACCATTGTTCTCTCCTCCTCTACCTCTCCTTCCTTCTTCCAGCCTTTCATTTTCACCCGTTGCTGCTACAACTCGCTTGCAATCCACCGCTCGAAAGGCGCGTCGGATTTGCGTGATGTGCTTAGTGAGAGAATCGACTACTGTGGAGAGAGACGAACGTGGAGCTGAGTTCATTGAGGTTGTCGTCATCGGTAGTCGCAAAGAGTCTATCATTGATTCTTGCTTGGACTCTCCTTTTCCTTCTCTTCCTCTTCGATTCTGGTAATAAAGCTTGAAGCTTTGTACTTGTGTTCTGTGTATTCACAAAATTTAACTGTAAAGTTCTCTCCTTTTTTCAGGAGTATTAACAGAGACAGCTCTGGAGATTCTGTCTTACAGCAAAGGCTCAATCACCAAGGTTTATACTTTTCTTTTTTTTTGGTTCCTTTTAAAATTATACAAATTAGATGTTTAGGGATTCATTCATATGTTACCTTTTTTTTTATCATACCACCCTCACTCTTTATGTTTACAGATAATGGTTTCAAGAAAATGAGTCCAGCTGAGCTGATACAGTCACGTCCAACGGCCTTCATCCTTGTTTGTACTTCTCTTGCCTATCATTCTGTTTTATGCTTCAGTGTGTATCTCGAAAATATATATATGACTAAACAATATACAGAGTGTGAATTGGTAGTCAACAACCATGAATGATTCCTTACTGATTGCTAATGGTTTTCAGTCTTGGAATAGTACTGCTTGTGCATCTGATTCTCTGCTTAAACTCTTCCTCTGACCAGGTGGCTAGTGCTGGATATGGTTCTGACCAGTTTGAAGCTATTAATATTCTTAGTGCAGTAAGATCTGAGGGTAGCTTAGCTGTTGCTGTGCTTTTAAAGCCTTTCAGCTTTGAAGGTCGAAGGCGTCTTGAAGAGGTAGTTTCTTGCTGTTGTTGTGCTATTATCTCATCATATTCATATAACAAACAAGTCCAACTTCATTAGTTATCTCTAGTTGGAGTCTCTTTTTTTCTCTTTCTAATTTCTATTGTTGTTTGCAGGTTAACCAACTGGCTAAAACACTCCAGCAACACACCAGTTTTTGTATAGGTATAATAAATTTCCTTGACTACCTTTTGTTCTGGTTTTCCTGCTGGCCATGTAAAATGACTAGTTTGAGCTTTCTAGATATCGACATTGAGATTTTACTACAGAAGGATATGGTAACTTTAGACGAAGCGCTAAGAAATGCAAACAATGCGGTTTCGATGGCAGTAAATGCAGCCTCTGCTCTGATAAGCGTAAGTATAGGTTTGCCTCTCATACTACGTCTACTCAAAATTTAGTCATTTTTTTTCCCATACAGTATATGGTTTTATACAGGGGACGCATGGAAACTTTATCGACGTGATGCATAAAGATCTTAATGAACTTGAAGGCTCACAAGTTACAACGGTAAGTTTCTTGTAATTTTTTTTTCCAATGGGTTCAACTTAATGCAGAGAATATTTTTTGCTTTTAGTGGGATAGTAATTTAGTTTGAGCTTGTATTCAATTCTTCAACTCTCTTATATATACAGATTCTAGAAAGCTACAAAGAGGCAAAGGTTGGTTTAGGAGTTGGTCACAACCTTAAGACTTCTATTTTACAAGCTATATACGACTGCCCTTTCTTTCGCCCTGGCATAAAGGTATGTCTAATCTCTTAAAGAACATTTCATAGAATACTCATGCGTACTACTTAAGCTCTCGGTTTGATTTCCAAATCTAGAAAAGATGGAAGATTGGTCTGACAGTAATGAATAAAATAATCTTCTCACATTGATCATTTTTTTCCATGATGCAGGATCTAAACGCTATTATATGCATTGTGGCTAGCTCAGTAGCTCTTCAGAAGAAGGACGTGAAAACAATCCTCCGTACTTTTCGTCAAACAATGGAATACACTGGAGACATCATAGTATCTACTGTTCATGAACCTGATCTGGAGCCTAAAGTCCTCGTCACTACTTTTTTTATTCTAAGGTGTGATATCTATGCTTAGAGACCGTCTACAACTTCAAGCTATGCTGGTTTTGATCACTCAGTTTTTTTTTTCTACTGACCACTGTTAAGCGCTAATGCAAGCCTCATATGTCATCACAGCTGTTCAGAAGAGGAAACATCCAGCAAGGGCAACATTTTTTCTGGTGTTTTACCTTTTGTTTTGAACATTTTCAAGAAATATCGTTCACAACTCCAGAAGGAAACAAGTAGTGGACTTGGAGAACCGCTGCTTGCAATGAAAGATTCAGCAGACTCTTCCGACGTAAAAATATCAAACCAGAGTGTTGAAGGATTTGAAACTGACTCTGAAGAGCTCCTGGAAGCTGCTGAGAGTGGTGATAGTGAATACCTAGTAGGAGAGGAGGAACCATCCAGAAACAGTCGCCTGGCTCTTGGAGATGAGAATATAGAAGGTACAAAATCTAAAAACAGCTTATTTATGCATGCTTCATCGCTTGTTTATTCATAGGATACTGAAGGTAGCTCGTCTTTTGTAGATTATGGTGCTATACAGAGGGAGCCAATTGCTAACTGGAGTATGGATCCGGGATATCAGATTGAGCAGAAACGTCCAGCGGATTCTGGAGACACCACAGTGCTTAGTCTCGGTGTTGTCAACCTTCCTGTTGGTGTGAGACCTTCAAAGAATTCGAACACTCTCAGCGTCGCCAGTAAACCCTCTAAGAAGGCTGGTTCTAGAGATGAATCATTTTTCAACTCTAATAGCTCAACAAAAGGCTCTACTGATACTGTATCTACCTTGCTATCTGAGAAATATGCTGACTTCACAAAGCAAAGAAACTTATCCGCTCGAGCAGCGTCTATGCTGGTAAGTAGCAATGTAGCAATCTATTAGGTCTAAGATATAAAAGTCATTCTTGCTTCTTTAGTTTAGTGAAATAAATATTACCATGCTTCTTCACACAGGAAGCTGAGCGAGATTCATCAAAAAGATGGAGTCCTATCCAAGAGATGCAGTACAGAGGAGGATTGTTCAAGGGAAGATGCCAAGGAGGCCTTCCTGAAGGAAAGGTAAAACTATAGTGTTGGTCTTATGCTTGAGACAAGCTTTCTTAATTGATCCCAAAGTAATGGCTGAAATCTATTCAAACCAGGGTCGTTTGGTACTTGGAGATGGAAGCATATATGATGGAATGTGGCACAACGGTAAAAGATCTGGTCTTGGAACATTCTACTTCAAGAATGGAGACGTGTTCCAAGGCACTTGGAGAGAAGATTTAATTCACGGAAAGGTAACTAACTATATAGTCTTTTTGCTCTTCTTTGTATTTGTATTAGCTTATTGAGACCAAACTGCTTAGTATCAATCACCAAGTCCGTGAGACCCTTTCAAGCTAGTGCCATGTAAAACTATCTTCCTACATAAATAAAGATGTCTTATCAGACAGATAAAACTTGTTTGGTTCTTTCTTGCAGGGGTGGTTCTATTTCCACAAAGGTGACCGATGGTTTGCAAATTTCTGGAAAGGAAAAGCAAGCGGGGAAGGCCGGTTCTATTCGAAGTCAGGTGAGATATTTTTTGGACATTTCAAAGATGGATGGCGTGACGGACACTTCCTCTGTATAGACGTCGATGGAACAAGGTTAGTGACCCTTACAAACTAAATTTTGATAAAGAGTAAACCCCAAATTTTTAAAAATGTTAATGTTTTTTTCCCTCAGATACTCTGAAACTTGGGACGACGGTGTTCTTATTGACCGGAAACAAATGGACGCCGGAGATTGATATCTTCCAAGCATATGTATAGTTGTAGCTCCACTTTTGTCTTTTTTCTCAGGTTTATATTATTATTACAAAACTCATGAGAAAGGTATTCCTTTGACTTAACTCTGCACGTTGTCTTTATTTTCTTTGATTAGATGTTGTAAAAGTAACGAATCCAATACCAAATCTACCGGACTTTTTGTTAACTTGCAACCTGGGAAAAGAGACTGAAACTTCAAAAGATGAAAGTAGCTACAGAATTTAATACTGTATTACCTAAAAAAAAAAAATAGTATATTTATAATAAATACATTGATAGTTTTCTTTCTCTCAAGAGCAACTTTTATTACTCAGTTGTTAAAATATCGTAATCCGATTATGGATTTACGTATATATTACTATACTATACATTCACGTAAGTTAATCATCATACAACAACAGAAGAAAAAAATCTTAATCTCCAGTCTTTATTTTTTTTTTCCTGAAGTAGATTTTTTCTTGTCCGGTTGATAATATATATTCATTTTTTCTTAATAATACAAAAAAAATAATATTATTGTTTACGTGTGGCTTAACGAACGCGTCTTGACGTAAAACTTCAAGTAGAGCAACGAGATAACGGCGTTTAGAACGGAGTTAAACAGCCAAGCACCGATACCGTTACAACCGCCGCGTTTGACCAGGTGTATGCACAACACGCCTACGTGGCACAAAGTCAAACACCCTAACAGAACGGCTTGACAGCTAACGACCAACGGAAAACACGCGCCACGTAACCCAATCGCCGTCCAGAATCTGTAACCGTATACGACGGCGTAAGAAACGGTCGTTAACAGTATCGCCACAACCTGCAAAAAAACGCGGGACGGTTCGATTTAAAAAAAAATTCGGTATTGATTTCCGGTTTAGTAAACCGAGACGGTTTAAATTAAAGACATACCTGGAAGGACTGAGAGTACTCGAGCCAGAGGAAGGAGATGCAGAGGAGAGAAGACTGGTTGATGAGCTGGAAGAAGCTGAGCCTACGACGTCGTATCACCGCGAAGAAGGTTCTGAAGAGGTGAAGGAACCGAGAGAGGTAAAACGCGTACGACCAGAAGAACACGCGTCCCGAAGCGCGTGTCCCCACGGGAAAACAGAGGAACCACTGGATCGCCGTGGTTCGCGTTCGCCGCCATAGCCAGCGCGTGTCGCGAATCTCCGCGGCGGCGGAGAGGAGGATTCCGACGAAGATGACGGCGGAGATTAACGCCATGGCTAAGCTGTGGAGAGCTGGGATGGGACCGAGGGAGAGGCCGCGTCGGCGTCGGAGGAGTGCGAGGAGGACGTGGAGAGAGACGGCGGCGATGACGTAGAATAAAACGGCGGTGAAGAGGAAAAACCACGTGGAGGCGTATGATTGAGTGGGGCTCCAACGGAAGTTAACGATGTTAGGATGTTCCGTTAACCAGTATTTCACGGTCTGAGTAGCCATTACAAAGATGGAGATCACAGTCTGTGTGTGTATGTAAATTTAATAGACAAAGGAAGAAGCAGTTGAGGGAGGAATCAGGTGGGAATATGAGAGAGATGCTTTTATGTGAAGATTGTTTTTTTTTTTCTCACCGGCTCTCTATTTATATATACTACTCATTTTGTGTGTGTGTGAAAGAAGTAAAATTATAGGACGACACTGAAAACGTCAGCGTCAAAGTCGACATGTTGAAAGAGATTACTTTAATGTTCCATCAAATAATTTATGTTTTATTATAACTTTCAATAAACCAAACAAGAACGACGTAGTGATTTCGAAGAAGTTTCAGCTCCAATACGGACGGACTAAATTCTACATTGCCCACTCACTATCATCTTCATTCTATTTTAACCCATCATAAATTTGATTTTTTTTTTTTTTTTGCTCAAAGTCTAAGTATGGTTAAAAAATCAATAACCCTTAATGAATCAGTAGTATGTGTAATATGAATTACTAGAAACTACCTTGAATTACATTGAATTACTAGAAATTACCTTAAATTACTAAAAACTACTATGAACAAAAAACAAACTACCTTGAATTACTAGAAACTACTACGAACAAAACAAAGCCTCTCTCTAAGTTCTCTCTAGTTTTTCAGAACTTAACTCATCTTTTATAAGCTTAGATTTCTATTCTTCTCTCGCAAATTTCGATCATGCCAGTTGATATTCCTTAGCTTGAGCGGATCTGTCAAATACGACTCTGTCATTATCCAAACTACATAATTTTGAAAGATAGTACATTAAAGTAATTTTAGCCATCATTTGAATTCAGGCATTTTTTAGGGTTTATTCAGTGTATATATACGTTTAATATAGGACAACGAGAGTTGAGATATGCATGGAGAGTAACAAGTGTTTAAAACAAATTAAAATATTTTCTTCCAGAAGTCATATATCTATATTGAATATTATGCATTGTTATCTTCAATTTCAGATAGAATCATTTTTCATATTAAACACAGTTTAAGCCACGTATGATGTAGGTTGGATCATCTTCCATTTGGAACCTTCGTATAGTTACGGTCAATTTGATTCGTCCGTTTTATCAATAGTATAAGAAATTAATAATACCTTCTTCTAGATGGATTTTAAATGATTAACATTCGTGGAATAATTTTATAGTAACACTTTTGGATCTTTACTCTGAACCGTAAACACGGTCACTCCCATGAAACATTTAAAACGTGTTTTAAACTTCATAAACAATATTGAGTGCGTTTATGTCTTATTTTGGGTATAAAATAGCAATAATGCAAAAAAAAAACTAATATAAAAAAGTTCAACTGCAGCAAGAAAGAGGGCCAGAAAAAAAAAAAAAATTAATAAACTAGTATCCCCTCTATTTCAGTTTGTTAAACAAGCATATTAAAATACTTTACCTATAACTAAGGAAAAGGAATAGGCAATGATATAGTCAGATTTTGAAAAAAATAAAAACAAAATTTTAACTACAGTTTAGTTAATTAATTTTGTTTTTGTATTGGACTCTTAGAACAATTTATATCTCGAAACAAAAGGAGATTTCCAAAACAAGAGTACAAAAAATCTCAATGATCGAAAGTTCTCATTGCCCCAACTCCCAACCACAAATCTTCGTTATTCTTGCTATCATTTAATAATTTTTAACACGATTTAAGATAAGCTATCCACTGACCATATAATCAAATCAGTATTGTTAATAGTACTAATCATCACAAACATAAGGAAAGTGAAGGTGACAATGATGTCGCCACTAAATTGTTGAACTCGAAAGGCACAGGTTGGCTGGCGACTTAGCCTTACTAGTCTAGGTAGGTGATTAGAAATTAATTCCAGCCATTAATTTGGGTTACGTATAGTTAGTTACTAGCTAGCCCCTTACAAATTTAGGACTTGGTTCATTTCACTAAACCGAAAGGGACAAAGTATTTGTAACAACAAAACGAAATTTTGTTGACAAAATAACAGAAACAGCCTATTATTCTGCAATAGAATATAATATTTAAATGTTACAAAAAAAATAACATTTAAAAGAATTAAAAGTTAAAAACTATAAATAAAAACAAGAGGAAGCTTCAGAACAAAAGTATAATAACAACTCTGTACCGTTTTTCATTCGCCGAGTCCCTTTCTTTCGCTTGCGATCTAACATCAGAAAGCCTCTCTCTCGTCTCCCTGAGGTAAAAAAAAATAATCGAAACTTTGAATCATTATTTACTGGAATGTTGTTGAATTCTGCATATTTGATTATTGCTATACGAATTTTTTTTTAGGGTTTGAATAGTATTAATCTCGTTTCGCTAATTTCGTGTGTTATAGGGAAACAATGTCTTTAAGCAACGAAGAAGACGTATCGAGAAACTTTGGATGTAACATATGTCTTGAAATGGCGAGAGAACCGATCGTGACACTATGTGGTCATTTGTTTTGTTGGCCTTGTCTCTACAAATGGATCCATTTCCATTCCCAATCTAATCACTGCCCTGTTTGCAAAGCTCTCGTCAAGGAAGACAGTTTGGTTCCTTTGTATGGATCTGGTAAACCATCTTCTGATCCGAGATCCAAACCTGCTACAACAATCCCTGATCGACCATCAGCACCTGCTGCACCTAGGCTTGAAACAGCTCGTCCTCGTGTCCGACAAAGGCATCATCATCATCATGAGTCTAGTTTCTTTGGAGGGTTTGGTTCGATTCCAGGTGGAGCACGGTTTGGGAACTTCTTGTTGTAGTGGAAGTACGTGTCTTACTGAATCCGAGTAGTCACGGTGCAGTGCCCTTCTGTTTTCCGACAATGTTTTTAAAACTATACATTGGCTACAAATTTTGTTTTTAGCTCCATTGTCTACATGTTTTATATTCTGTTCTCGTTTAATAAAAGATTTGCAGTAACTTGAGCTATTGGATTAGTCAGTCTTCCTCATAAAAGGTCTCTAATGTTATATTTGCAGATTAATCTCTACGTGAATGTTGATTACATTATCGTGGCATAGAGACTCTATGTCTCATTAGAACATCCACATCAATGAACTTCCTCTTAGAGTTCATTGAATCAATTTTTTATTATTAAAAATTTTCGGTTTTCTTTTTGGTTTTTTTTTTTAAAAAAAAACAGACGAATCGCGAATCGCCACGTGTCGTGGATCCTGCGCTACAGTGAGGAACCGAGTTCACCGCAAAGAACATGTAAAAGACGAATTCATCACTATTTTTTATTTTAATATTTATTTTTTTGAAAAACGTGTGAACTCCCATTTAAAATTTTGATGAGGGTGTTCTTATAGTTGTTTATGGGCTTCACAATCACAACCATCCTAATACAGTTGGATGTTGATATGATATCATGATATTATAGAGTACGACTTAATAATAGAGTTCTCTTTCTACATATGACTACGATGTTATCATAACACATAATTGATGTTCATAAAATATTAACACAAATGTCGAAACCCCATTAGTCCGATGATATTTTCCACGTGTACAATAACACAAAGATTCACTTGAATCATTTTTCAAAGCCCATCAAAGGCTTTAATGGGCCTTTTACAATCATTTGGATAAGCTCACGGAAGCAATAGAGAGACCGAACCTCATCTCATTTCGTTATCTTCTTCTTCGTCGCTAGCTTTTCTCCAGCGACAATGGCGTTGTCGGTTACAAACCTCGCCTCTTCACTCTCTTCGCTCTCTTTCTCCTCCCAGGTTTCTCAGGGACCAAACACCCTTTACTTCCCCAGAGCGAACTCGGTGTTCTCACTTCCGGCGAAATCAGCTCGTCGCGCTTCTCTCTCAATCAACGCCACGGTGGCTTCTCCCGAGGCGGAGGTAGCGGAGGAGGATGTTGATAGAATGGAGCTGAAGAAGTACGTGAAATCTCGGCTTCCGGGAGGATTCGCAGCTCAGAAAATCATAGGCACGGGACGGCGTAAGTGCGCCATCGCTCGTGTTGTGCTTCAAGAAGGCACTGGCAAAGTTATTATAAACTATCGCGATGCCAAGGTAACACTCTTATTTCTGTTTCTGCTGTTACTTGTGTATTGAAATTTTTGTTGCTTAGGCCTTTGGTTTTTGGTGTTTTAGGGGTTTAAAGAGTTGAAATTTGACCACTCGTGTGTGGGGTTCATGTTCTTGAGAGGTTGAATATGAGATATGGATAGGTATTTTAGCAGGAAAAGCTATGGAAGCAATCCTTTCTTGGTTTCTTTGAATACATGATGAAACTTACATTATGTTAGTGTGTAAATCGACTTAAGCACTTAGTAGAGTAAGTTGCAGGCTTGCAGCATTGTATAGTAGTCAAAGTCACGTGCTTAATCAAGTTTTGGGGTTATAAACATTTTAAAAAAAAATTCATAAATTTCTTTTTTTCATAATTTGGGAGCTTATGTCTGTTTATGTAGAAAACCTCCAAAAAATTTGGAGACCAAGGTCAATGTTTTATAAGGTTGTGGTCAGAGAGACCGGCTTTGTTTGAGATAGAACTGTATCGGGACTTGTTTCTTTGTGATCTTAGAGTTGTATCAGCACGTTACAAATTCAGTGCTATCAGTTTCAAATAGTTCTTGTGATGATGATCTCTAGGTTGTATCGACTAGGAGAAGTTGGCTGAGAGACTACAGTAAATGGCTCTCGTTGTGAGTTTTTAACAAGCTGCTTTTTGAATGTGAAACATTTTGAATCAGTCCACATATTGTTGTTGATGTTGATAATCCTTGTAAACTCTTTGCAAGAGTATCTTCAAGGCAACCCACTATGGCTTCAAAATACGTTAAAGTGCCTTTAGTGACTCGTTTCTGATTTAAGTAGTATCACTTGCATATAATTTTTATGATGAAGAATCTCTAGACTAGAATATGTGGCTCGACAACAAGGAGAGGTTATGGTTAATGGCTATAGTTGGGAAGTTTTAACAGCCTGTTTAGTGAATTTGAAATATTCTGAGTCCATACATACACATATTGCTGATAATAGTGGTGATCCTTGTAAACTCTTTTCAGGAGTACCTTCAAGGCAACCCATTGTGGCTTCAATACGTTAAAGTGCCATTAGTGACACTAGGTTACGAGAACAGCTACGACGTGTTTGTGAAAGCCCATGGAGGCGGTCTCTCTGGTCAAGCTCAAGCCATTACTCTCGGAGTTGCTCGTGCCCTCTTGAAGGTAAGTGCAGATCATAGATCGCCTCTGAAGAAGGAAGGTTTGCTCACTAGAGACGCAAGAGTCGTTGAAAGAAAGAAGGTTGGGCTCAAGAAGGCGCGTAAAGCACCACAATTCTCCAAGCGTTAAAAGAGCTTTTGTTATTTTTATTGTTGTTGGATATTAACTCTTTTAAGTACACTACTTTGCCTCTATTTCCTTTTCAAAGTTGATGTGTAGATGAACCAATCCCTGTTTTAATTTAATAGAGTGCAAAAGTTGTTATGATTGTGACTCGTTTGCACTAATCAATCATTCAGTTGTGATCAATTGTTTGTTATTAATTTTCTTGAAACAAGGCTTAAAACATGTGTTTCTGTTTGCAAGGCCGGATTTGGACACAGCCGATCGAAACATTCGCCTTGCCCCCCAAAATTTTTAGAAAAAATTAACCTAGGAATTAGCCCCTAAACATTGACCTTGGCCCCTAAAATTTTTAGAGTTCTTAAGAAATGTTTCAAGCTCCTAAAATCTCAGCTCCGGCCCTGCTGTTTGATGTAATGTTGAAAGGTTTCTGAAGTGGCGTATGTTTGAAACTCGTGGTCTCTCTCTCTCATTCTCTTGGACTTGGTCTCCTTGTCATCATACGGTTTGCCACGTGTGAGACAGTGATGCATATAAAAAAAATGGAAAACCGGAGATTAATTAGTAGGCTGGTTTAGCTGAGAATGGTGATGCCAATTTGGAATGTTAGGTATTAGTGAGCTTACCCACTTTGACTCTTTCCCATGCATTTTCTCTGTTTTCCTTGTTTTTGATTTGCCACTATCCTATTTACTTTTATTAATCTATCACTTGAAGGAAAAATAAAAAACAAGCAAAATCTTGGGTGTTAAGCTAATACTACAACTTGTTTTTAAGCAATACTATGATAATAGAGAGAGCTACTTGATGTGTATGTGTATGTTTACATCAGTAAGGAAAACAAATCACGTGTATGGTCCTAAAAATTTATTGATTACATATGTCAACAGTACATTAATTTTGTAAACAATTTAATGATTTTGAGGTTTTTATTTTTCTTAAACAATTTTTATTACGTTACTCATCGTCAGCTCATATATATCACATCAAATCCATGACTTTTATCAATGTTATTATTTCTGGATCTACTACTACCGTCACGGTTCACAAGGACACACATCAACTATTCTTTCTTTGATAATGAACAAGTGAAGTTACGTGTTTCAGTGCATGTACGAACTGAAATTTTTGTATTGCAGCTAGGGCTGGGCATTTTATTCGTTAAATTTGATTCGATTCGTTATTTGTCTCGATTCGATCCGAAAATTCTGGATATCCGTAAACTTTCGAATCGAAGCAAATACTAAAAATCAATATTCGAAAAAATCGAAGCAAATCACAAATATAAAAATTTTGGGAAGCGGATATCCGATCCGATCCGGAAATATATAAATATATGTATATTTTGATTATATTTAAAATTTTAAATGTATAAAACTATTATTATAGCTTATGATTTGACTAATTACATTCACATTATTACTTATATAAAATTATTAGATAAAAAGAAGAGAAAAATTATGAAAATTATAAAAAAAATCTTAAG